GGGGGGGGGGGGGGGCCGAAGTGGGACTTGAGGTGTGTACATCTTTGAGATTGTGGTGTGGGACGGATGCGTCGGGTCGGCGGCAGGTGTGAGAGATTTTCCTGTCGGCTCTGTCAACGGATTGTACCTTACATTTACATTAAAAAGCTATAGTTCTCAGACCTGATTGTTTTATTGTGATTTTTATTTAAACTGTAAGCTACGTCACCACTCGGCTACACTAGTTTAAAATACAACTCATTAATAAATCATTCTTTACTTAGTGTGCAAGTGGTGACTTATCCTGAAGGCTATTGAAAATGAAGTTTTATGAGAAAGTGTTATTGGGGGCTGCAGGCACTGCTGGAACTGGAGTTGTGGCAGTTAAAACGTTGTTCCCTTGGATACAGCATGACTTAAGGCAAATGAATGTGGAGAGCAGAATGATGAAATTTCAAGAAAAAGAGATGCAGTCATTTTTGATTGACAAGTTTGAAAAGCATGTTCAGGACACACCAAAAAAGCCATTTATTATTTTTGAGAACACTGTTTACACATTTGAGCTCATTGACCAGCTGGCTTGTAAAGTGGCCTACATTGCCAAGGGTTTGGGCCTGGGACCACGTGATTGTGTGGCAATAATGATACAGAATGAACCAAGTTTCATTTGGACCTTTTTGGGTAAGTTTACATATTTATTAAAATTTTAAGAATTAAATTTTGTATAATCATTGAATATTTTACAACATCCATCCCATGTGGGGCTTTGACCTGTCTCACCACATCCTTCCCCTCAGACCTGACTGATTCTTTTCTTTTAAATGCTTGGATTCCCAGCTGCTGTATATCTCTCCACAAAATCCATCTATTTAAGCCTAGGTTTTCCTTTGATTCGTTTTCCTCTGGGGTTTTGGTGATGCACCTTCATCACTCCTCTGTCATTTGGAATTCTTATGACACACCAGATGAAATGATTTTTCTATTCCTTTATACTTTAAGCTTTTCTCTAACTTAATAAAAATCAATAAATACTGTAGGTGAAGTCTGTAAATGATGAAAATCTATTTTTATATTTAAAAAATACCTTACAGGGCTTTTGAAACTTGGCATTGCTGTGCCATTTATAAACTACAACCTGAGAATGCATCCTCTGATTCATAGCATACTGGCAGCAGAACCAAAGTATTTGATAGTTGGACCAGGTGAGAAAAAGATAAATGCCCATTTGTGTTCCTTCTTTCCATGCCCCTTCCAACAAACTCTCAACTCTTAGATCCTAAATGTTATTTATTTGCAAATTACCCTTTTTATAATTAAAGACTAAATTAATTTTGTTTAAATAAATTTTGAAATTTACATCCCAGTTTTAAAATGATTTTTTTTCTACTTATAACAAATAAATATTCATAAAAATGTACATTTTAAAAACTTTGATTTGTAGGGGAAGCAATCCTGGAAGGAGTCACCAATGTTATAGACAGTCTTGGCAATTTGAAAGTGTTTGTACAAGGATTAGGGACAAAGCCAGCACCAAATGGATTACATTCATTTGATCCCCTGATGACTACAGCCCTGCCAACTGCAGTTTGTCCTGCCATCAGGAGCAATCTAACACTGCAGGATATCTGTTGTTATGTATACACATCTGGAACCACAGGTAAAAATTAAAAGTTTATAATTGTAGATTATTGAATTTAATATAGAGCGTGAGAATAATAATAAACATTCTGACATTTTAAGTCAATTATTTTTTTAAAATCTTGAGTATTACTATTGTTAAGTAATAAGTTGAAATTAAGAATTATGCTTAATATAAATTATGTTTATAAAAAATACCATAAGGATAGAGAAAATCTATTCCTGTCAACTTGTTTGAGTTTTTCACTGTCAGCAGAATATATTTCTTTCTTTCTTTTTTTGTTTATTAACATCATTAAATTTTTTTTCATGGGGGAAAAAATTATTAAATGAAAAAATAATAGAACAAAATTATGCTATTGCTACATTGAATGATCCCAATATCAATAAGACTCTAGAACCTGTGATAAAAGTAAGCTCAATTTTTCAATTTTAAATTATTAAACTTTGGTATAAAATATATGTAATTCTAATTATTACATTTGTGTGTGTAATGCTTTAGGTAACCCAAAGCCAGCGATAATCAGCCATTTAAAAAGCATTGCTGCTGGATGTCTCTACCAAGTTGTGGAATTAGTCAAATCAGATGTCTTATACATTGTCCTGCCTTTATATCACAGCTCAGGTGGAGGCATAGGGCAATGTGGTGCTCTAACTACAGGTCTTTCTTCTGTCTCAAATTAATCATAGATGCCAAAAAATATATTTTTAGCATATTTATGACATGATGTAGGCCTATATTACTCAATTTTCCGTTACTAATTGTGTAAAATTAAATTAATTTCTTTTAATTGTTTTAATTGTTTTTTTAAAAGGAGCAACAGTTGTTTTAAGGAAGAAGTTTTCTGCTCATCACTTTTGGTCTGACATTCACCTGTATAATGTAACAGTGATATCCTATATTGGAGAACTTTTCAGATATCTACTTACTCAACCACCTGTGAGTTTACTTATACAAAATACAAATTCAGAGTATTGATTTTACATAGCCTTGTAAGTCACTACCCAAATGTGTTCCCACCAAATGTGAATATTCAGAGAGAGAAGTGGTCAGCCATTTTATTCACATAGTTCCAAAAACTGATTGCCTCTTATTGTAGAATTTTTTTATTGACAAGGTTTATAAATGACATCATACATAAGTTACTTCATTTGGACAAAAGTTAAAAATATATATTTATTTTCCTCAAGTTGAATTTTTTTTTTCCCAATGTATAAAGTTAAAGGTATTACTTGGAAAAAAAAGTTACAAAGTATCCTCTGATGTATTAAGCCTCTGGTTTAAACTTAAATGATGAATTTTTTTGTACACACTAAAAAAAAAAGTAAATTAAAGTTAAACTGCTTTTCTTTAAATTTATTTTTTTTAAAACATGCAATTTTGTCTTGAATTTTCTGGGAACAGAGATGTGAAGTTGAAAAGTAAAAGTTTTTAATTGTGTTAAACCAATTTTGCTAAACTTTTATTGTCATCATTCTTAATTACTTGCTGAATGTTGCAGAATAGTTTGGAAAGTACTCATAAAGTGAGAGCTGCCTTTGGAAATGGTCTGAGAAAAGACATTTTTGAGAAAGTGCAGAAACGTTTCAAAATCCCTGTCATTGTGGAATTATTTGGTGCCACAGAAGGAGTCAGAACACTTTTTAATTTGTCAAATGAACCAGGGGCTGTAGGAAGGCTTTCTCCTTTATTGGTAAATCTTTTTTATTGAGGGTTATCTTAAAAGAATGTATGAATTTAATTTGTTAATTTAGCAGTAACATCATTTGGGAACCTATTCAAGGTTAGCTGGCTGTATAATTTTTTTTTATGAACTTGAGAAAATACACTTTTATTTCATTATTTTTTTCAATGGTTCTTTTTTATGTGTAAAGGGTAACAACAATTTTCAAAATAAATAATAAAATCAAATAAAGATATATAAAATAATTAAATCTATAATTAAATGTTACAGAGAAGAATTGAGTCTAATCCAATAGCACTTGTCAAGTTTGACTATACAACTGCAGAACCCATACGTGACAAGAATGGTTTGTGCATTCAAGTTGGCATTGGTAGGTTTATAAATGTTTGGCGGTTCATGAAATCATAAAAATTCTGATTATATGGTACCCCTGTAATAAAAAAATATAATCTTAGCTGGTAAAAGTCAGTCTTACAAAAAAGTGAATTCCAAAATGTTAATTGAAATCACACAAAATACATAATGTATTTGTAAGTTTAAAAAATATTTTATGCAAATTTCAGGTGAGCCAGGTCTTATCATAGCAAAAGTTCCAGATCCTCTTATTACAAATGGTTCACTTACTGTTTACCGAAGTAGCACGAGGGAAGCAAATGAGAAGAAGCTAGTGAGGGATGCCTTTAAGAAAGGAGATCTTTGGTTCAATTATGGAGATGTTCTCATCTTAGATAAAAACTACTTCTTATATTTCAATGACAGAATTGGGGATACATTCAGGTAGGTTTGTATTATTGAATTTCCTTCATCCCATAAAGTAGTTCCCAAAAGTACAAAACAGAGTAAATCTCTTTTGAAAGTTAATTAATAAGGTATGTCTTTTTTCTTTATATGAAATAAAACAAGAGTTACTGAAAAATGTGTCATTTGTGTAGAATGATGCTGTTTGTGGACAGTGCTAGTTCTGTCAAGGTCCCATGAAACTATTTCATGTCCTATTTATACCTTTGATTGTCTCTGCAGATGGAAAGGTGAGAATGTGTCTACAATTGAGGTGGGAAATGTGATGACTGCCTTGAAGTTTATTGAAGATGCTAATGTTTATGGGATCACAATTCCAGGTAAATTTGCTTAATTTTTTTTTAATGCTATATTTATATATATATATTTCATTTGTACAAATCCATGCAAATGAAACACTCATTTAATGCTAAAATTTAGAGCAGATGTAAATAAAGCAATATTTCATTTTTTTTTTACTATGTATAATTATTCACACTTTTTCATGCTTAATGTAAATATTTGATATAATAATGAAACAGTCTTCCATCACAATGGAAATATGACCCTGTGTTAAGAAACAGACATAAGATTTGTGGGCAAGAACCTGGGATTCATTTCCTGCCCTTTTTCATGTGATCTCCACAGTTAATATGGAGCTGAGGATATAGTTGTAGTCTTGTAGACACCACATGGGAGGAGGCATAAAATGCTGGACAGATTTCATTTTTGGTAGCAGTCTGTCTTTATATTCAGGTGTGCATAAATGGGTTAGCTCCCTAATCATTTAACTTCTATCTGTCACTCCCAAACCAGCAAGCTCGTCTGTACTTGGACAGTAATGTGAACTTTAGTAATTTTGCGTATGTGCATTGTGTCCTAGCTTTTCCACCACAAAATGAATACTCACCAATAAAGTTGAATTTAAAAAAAAAAACTTCTTACAAGAACTACATTTATAGAAACAGGTTAAGCCCATTTTTTGCTATGTTCTCATCCCATGTTTTTGTCAGGCTGGTAAAAAATAATTTTAATGTTATATTTTTAATAGGCCATGATGGTAGAGCAGGCATGGCTGGCATCACAATAAATGTTGGAGCCACCTTAGGAGATAAAGAACTGAACAAATTATATGAACATGTATGTGAAGAACTCCCAACGTATGCAAGGCCATTATTCCTACGTCACTTAAAAGAAGCAAGCCTTACTGGCACATTCAAACAGCGTAAAGTGGAGCTAGTCAATGAGGGCTTTGATGTCAATTTAGTCAAGGATGATTTGTACTTTTTAAACCATGAGAAAAAAACTTACAGTAAACTTACTTCATCTGATCTATCCAAATTTTTGTCATCCAAATTATAATTTTATTATTTTTTATTTGTTAGAAAGCATTCATGGTGAAGTTAAGAAATCCAACTAGAGTATATTGATTTCTTTTTAAATATGATTCACTGTATTATTTCACTGAAAATTTTAAAGTTTAATTTAGTGTATATTCTATGCAGCACCTGTATCTTACTTAAAGATGCTAATACAATACAATAATTTTGATTTTATTATTTTTATTTGCTTTATTTGATAACGAAATGGTAAAAGTCAGAACTAAAAGTGTATTTTTTTTAAAAAGCTATAGGCCTACACTAATTAGTCTTTAAGATTATAAAAAAAAAAACTTTCTCCAATCAGAACCATTATTTGGCACTTTAGTATATTTTGACTTAACTTCTGACTGGCTTATTTAGCTGCCCAAAATAGAAGAGTTTTCCTTTTTTAAAAAAAAAAAAATTTTTTTAATAAATAAAAACAAAATTACTATTTAGCATTTTGTCTGGCCCTTTATCAATTTTTTTTATAATTATATACATATTATTTTTATGTCATTATTTTTTAACAAGACATTTGAATAGCGAATTTAAATCCATTGCAAAATTATTATAGTATAATGAAGTTATAAATGAGTTAACTGTCAATATGGTTTTGAAAATGTATTAGACTTCTCCATTGTTTCGTGCCCCCCCTCACCCTTGGCGAAAGTCAAGTCGCCCCCCCNATGGAAAGGAGAGTAGACAGAAAGTCTTTAAAAAGGCCCTCCTGGAGTGAACTGGACCGCCCCTTCCGCCCAGCCTTCTTACGGCACTGGCCCTGCCCACCCGAACTTCTGAAATGCACCCCCCCCCCTCCCGCCCGGAGCAAACTGTCTGAAATAAACACTGGTCTTCTCTTAGCATGAGCGACCATCAGAATAGTTATGGCCAAAAATAATGAAACTTTCCCCCAAAAAGGAAGAAAAAAGCTCAAAGTCAAAGCATTATTTTTGTAACCTTGGTCAGTGTTACTACTGTTACACAAAGTGCTGGTTTGCTGATGGAGTAGGTAAACAAAATCGCAGATTGGAAAGTATTTTTATGACATATTTAAGGTCCAAAGAACAGAAAAATCATTAATAAATCTGACACCGGTCGCTGGTCCCGGTCAATCAAACTTAAACGTTTGGGAAACACTGATGTGGATGAACGCTTTGCTCCTCCCTTGATCCCTGTTTTCAAGTCTTATACCGTTTATCGATGTACACATTTTTGTTGATGTACACATTTTGTGCTACACTTTTCAGTGTCACCTTGTTATTGTCATGCTTAAGCAGTATAAGTCATAAGTCTAAGATTGTATGCTCCCGATGCATTGTAAACGTTATAATAAAAGAATGTAATCAAACCATTTCACGATAAGTCTTGTCTATTTTGTGAACAAACTGTTTTCATTTTGAAATGAGTTAACTGAGTTAACTCCAGAAAAATGTTTTTGAAAAAAAAATAGTTATTAAAACAAAGATCACGCGTTTCCAAAAAAAATGTATTAATTAAAAAAATATAACATAAATTCCTACCCCGTTTTTTCAAATTTAAAAAAAAATAAAAAAATCAACAACTTCAATGTTGCTTCAGTCATATGACTAAAAAAGCCTGGGATGCCCATGAAATCCAGTGGTGTCGTATGACTTGATAAATACAATGTTGTAAGTTGTAGCCTACACATGCAAACGTTTGCATTGCAGCAAGTAAATGTTATGTGACTCAATTATTATGCTACAGCAGAGCCGTTCTTAGAATTTTGGGGGGCCCTAGGCATGGAGCGTAGGTAGGGCGGAGCTGAGGAGAAAACACCACCCACCACTGCGGTATCTCCATTCCGCCTTCGCCACTGTTTCCTCTTTGCTCGCGAATAACCACTAACCCTATTGATAATTCCGCCACTAGAGAAAATGTGCACTTCTGAAATAGATTGACTTGCAAGTTGTAGTTGAAAAGAAGCGGCGGTGCCCTAGGCCCTAGTTTGCCTATACCTAAGAACGACTGCTGGATACATGGAAATAATCATGGATAATCATGGAAATACGAGTTCTCACAACTGCCTTTCATTACTGGTGTATTACTTGTATGCTCCCATCTGTCGTGATCTCGACAAGGGCAATGAAATTAGCGATATCGTTGTGTGCATGCCTTTGCAATTTTTAAGAACATTGAGTTCATGGGCGCCCCACGCGTTTTTCCCCCCTCCCAGTCATATGACTGTAAAACTCTGAACTTTTAAGATATATTTCGGAAGAGCGTGTGTTTTTTTAAGTATTGTTTTATTTTGTACTTTTAAGTCTTGGAAGATGTGAGACACAAATGAATATAACGGAGCATGATTTTAAGAATAGTCTATAATTAAAATGTAAAAATTTATGCTTTAAAGTATGATACTTTTTACGTAATATACTGTGCTTAGTGACTAGTAATATCGGTCAGTTCAATTGGAGATTAGTAAGAGGGTCAAAACTGGGATGCAAGATTTGGCCACACACAAACTAACAAACGGACATTGCAACCTAAGAAAAAAGCTCGTGCAAAAAAAGAGAATATGGGATAACCTATTGCAGGCCCCATGGTTGACATTTTTGCAATTAATAGGGGCCTACATCTTCGATAATCCTTGTTATTAAATTTTGATCTGAAATTAAAATACAGATAAAAAGAACAATCCAAGTATGGGTATAGAGATACATAAGGGCTTAGTTGTAATATTGAATCAAATATGTGCATAAAACGAAATGAATCTGAAGTATCGTCTTCGTTTTCCGATGTGACATAGATTTGGCCCCGTCTCATTTTGTGCTAAGCATAAAATAACACAGTAGTTACACCAGTGTTAGGTAACGTATAATGAAACAATGTGTTATCTCGTTTTCTGCACTTTAATAGTTAGATATAAACGTCTGGTTGGATCGTGGCAGTCATCATCGCACACCCAACACTTACCAGGTACTCCGTACCCCGTCGGGTGCTATCAAGTCTAGTTGTGTCAAGGTTCAAGGAAGACAAGCTTCGAATTAAAAATTATTTATCTTCGATAGATAAGTAGGGCTACTGTTGAATACCACAGGTAAATACTGCAGCTATGTATGCATGATAATATAAAGACCTTCTCATTTTCGTGCATAGTATTATTTACATTTTTGCTGATTATTAATGCATTATTGTTTTTTTTTTTTTTTTGGTATCGTGTAATGAACTTTAGTTTATTGTCGTCAATTTTATATCAATATTCATATATAAAATAAGGAAGACATTAATTAAACTCATATGTCCTCTTTACTTAACGCCATTAACAGAATCAGAATTATCTTTTAAATTCAATTCATTTCCAGAAGACAACCCCACCCCTCTTTCTGTAACTAAAAAGAAGCTTCAACACCTTCACACAAAATGCTGATATGTAGATTTCTTGCAAATTGAAATTAACAGAATAATGACGACTCAGCATTGAAGAGACATGAAGAATGTTCCATAACTCCTCATCAAACCCGGAGTACTCGATAAATGTTTAAGTCCCATGTCTAGAAGATCCGACAGGTCCTGTTTCTAAAGTATTTGAATTAAATTTAATTTTCAGGCTGTCGCCTGGCATGACCAAAGAGTATAATTTTCTTAAAATTTTTTAAGATAATTTATTCACGAAGCATGGAGCCGGAAAAGAAAATATCAGTGGGAACAACTGGAACGACTGGACAAGAGGTCGTGACGTGGGACACCGTAAAGCCGTGGATTGAACACGACCTGAAACTGATGGCAAAGACAAGCAAGATGTTAAAATACCAGGAGATGGCCATGCAGTCTTTTCTCGTTGACAAGTTTGAAAAGCATGTACGGGAAACGCCCAAAAAATCGTTTATCGTTTATGAGGACACAATTTACACATTTGAACTTGTTGACCAGCTAGCTTGTAAAGTTGCGTGCATCGCCAAGGGTTGGAGCCTGGGACCACGTGATTGCGTGGCAATAATGATGCAGAATGAACCAAGCTTCGTTTGGACCTTTCTGGGTTAGTAAACATTTCATTGACTCCGTATTAAAAATATGGTGTATTTTTGTTGTAAATGTGTTTTTGTGATGCATTTATTTTATACTCTTAGCATTGTAGCCCCGAGTCCAAGGAAGCTTAAAAAAAATACATGAAAAAATAAACCTCTCTTTAAAATGTTTTTTTCTTCTAATGACGTGCAACTTTTTGACCTATTCATTTAAAATATTTTGGGTTAAGAAAGGAATGCTCATAAATTTTATTAGCCAGATGCACCATAAACATTCTTTAATGGATATTAAAATTGATACAAGAACCAGGGCAGGCTTTACAGCAGTGGGGGTGGGGGGCTGGGCAAAGTAATTCACTGAGGCTCCCTATCCCTCTATATACTCAGGGCCGTGAGCAGGAGAGGGCGAGAGGTCCATTCACCCCTGGCGCCCAAATCGTCTTGATAGCCCCTTAGTAGGGAATAAACGATAAAATCCCATTTAAATGGGGTGCCTAAAGGGTCGTACTAGTCCACCCTGGGCGCCGCTTTTCACAATAGCGTAAAAGTCATGTAATTTATGAAAAGCATTATGGCCCAGTTTGGCCCATCCATTTTGACCAATTTCTTTCAGGTAATTTTATCAGCCGGGTTGGGGGGGGGGGGGGGTGGTTGTTAGGGTTACATTTCAATCGTTGGGGGGACGGTACAGGGCATCTATCATCTCCGAAATTAGGCATTTAGACGCCCAGGGTAAGCTCTGTAATATTATGGCCCAGTTTGGCCCATCCATTTTGACCAATTTCTTTCAGGTAATTTTATCAGCCGGGTTGGGGGGGGGGGTGGTGGTTGTTAGGGTTACATTTCAATCGTTGGGGGGACGGTACAGGGCATCTATCATCTCCGAAATTAGGCATTTAGACGCCCAGGGTAAGCTCTGTAACACTCTTTGATTTGTTTCAAACCGACAATTAATCAAAAGGCATCTTTTTAATAAAACTAGTACCAAAAAAAATTATTTGAAAATTGAAAAAAAACTGGAGAAACGGTCTTCTCGCTGCATTTTGTAGGCAAATTAAATTGGCAAAAAGTATTTCAATTTTCATTAACAAAATTAGCAGCATAATATCTCTAAAAGCGGCGTGAGACCCCCTAGAGACATTGAGGCCCCCCCCCCCTTGAGGCATGAGGCCCCCCTAGAAGCATGTCCAGAGTAATCATGCCTTAAGAGCAATGACAATGATTGCAAATGGCGTAGTCCTACGTCTTTAAATTGAGGTCACATATATATAGTTAAATCCATAGCAAACAACGAGTTTCATGTCATGTAACAGGTTTGCATTGGTATTTACTAACAACAAAATTTTATCATGCGTTGTAATGTCGGGGATTAAAAGCAACAACATATTAGTCTATTTTTTAATCACGCAGAAGTTTTACAAATTAATAATTTATAAGAATCCTTCGACATACATAAATTCTCAATTTTAAAGGTCACATATTTGATCTTGATTAGGCCTACCTAGAATGAATATAACCAAATGCCAAAATACAGACATCAAATGAGCGCCTTTTGAAATAAACTATAAAAATAATTAATACCAAGACAACATGACTGTTACTTAGGTACAGTGTAATATGTAACTTCAAATCATAATCATTGAAATAAATAATTATCTCAAAAATAATTAATCTATTTTTTTTATAGGTTGCAATTGACACATCTTTAGTTAAAAGTTTCCATTATTTACAGGACTCCAAAAGCTTGGTATATCTGTTGCCTTAATAAACTACAATCTAAAGATGCATCCCTTAATTCAAAGTGTACTGGCAGCAGAACCTAAATATTTGATTGTTGGACCAGGTGAGCATAGTTTTAATATTTAATTTAAAAGAATATAGTATCCAATGTTGGCCTAAACTTCACTCAAAGCATTAACTTTGTAATAAAAATTAAACTTATTCATTTTACTTGTCCTCTTTTTTGAAAAAGATAATATTACATAAATTCAGTTGTGAAAATTAAATTATTGAAAATCATATATTAAAAAATCAATTAGTAATTAAAATACAACTTGAGGAATGTAATTTTGAGGGTTTTTTTTTTCAAGGGGAAGTTATCCTGCAGGCAGTAAGTGATGTCATGAATAGTCTTGGAAAGATGCATGTGTATGTTCAAGGGTTAGGTACCATGGCTGCCCCAAATGCAATGCATTCATTTGATTCATTAATGGCTGCAGCTGTCCCAACAAATATATTTTCTGGTGCCAGGCGAGACATGAGCATGGGCGATACCTGCTGCTACATTTACACATCTGGAACCACAGGTAGTGGCCATTCACATTTTGAGTAAAGAAAATATTTTGCAAGATATTGATAATGATTTATATATTATTGATGATTTATTTCTGTTTGCAAGCATGGAGTGGATATCTAGTGGAAAATTTAATCATATTAAGGTGGATCCTACTCACATACCTTCATGCTTAAGAGCCCAACTTTAGAGTGGCAGTCCCTGTAGCACTTCAAGAAAACCATATTTATGAGACCTGTGATATTTTTTTAAAACCGTTGCCAATCATTATCATAAAATTGTGTTTTATAAGCCATTTTTTGGTGTATTAACATAAAACTGAGCAGCTTCTTATCAATATCATTGTTTTACTTTGTGTAAGGCTGATATTAGCGAACATTTACATTATTTATTAGTTTTGAAAAACTGCATTTTTGTGACTATGGGAGTTTGAGGCTGTAAACAAGGAAACAAGGGTATAAAAGAAGTGAGGAAGGTAAACGCTCTAGTTAGTTTCCACATCTTACAATTACAATTGTCGGGAATAATAATAATAATACAGTGGTCTTATATAGTGTGGTACCCCAGCCTAGGGCTGGGCTCACAGCGCTTCACATAAAAATACTGGCAAAAAGAAACATGACATTAAAAAAAGTAACATAAATTTATTTATTTAAAAACAGTTTTATAAGAATATTCACCTCAACCACCCCAGAACTATTTACATATCAACCCATGGACGACACCCAGCAGCCTCGTTTATCTGTCAGAGGGGGTGAGAATCAGTCAGGATGGTACAGTTTTGAGGGATTGGGCTTGAGTGCAGTTTTGAAGGCCTGGATGGTCGGTATATTGTGTAATGGGAGAGAATTCCATTGTTTGGGGACACAGAAAGAGCAAGATCATTCACCATATGTTTTAGTGTATGTCTTGAGAACAGAAAGAATATGCATGTCCGCAGAGGAGTGAAGCTGTCAAAGGGGAGAACAGATTGAAAGTAGTTTGGTTAGATAGGAAGGGCAGGAATTGGAGAAAAATTTATGTCAGAGAACAGTTTTTAACAGTTAGTTTTCATATCTTACATCAGTAAACATTTCAAACACTGCACTTGTTAGTGTTTTTTTTTTAAAATAATGTATAATTTTAGGCATTAAATCATTAACATTTACTATTAAAACAAATATTTTCATGTTCTAGGTAATCCAAAGCCTGCAATAGTCAGCCATTCAAGGAGCATTGGCATGGGATGTCGCCTGCAGATGGTGGACTTGGACAAAAATGATGTATTGTACATTGTACTACCCTTGTACCACAGTTCTGGTGGAGGCATTGGCTTTTTTGGGGCTATCATTACAGGTTAGTATCCTTATTTAAAAATATAAAACATTTTCTGAAATGTTTAGAAATGTTCTGAAATCTTTACAACCCTAACTTTTAGCCACTTTTTCAGTTTTAAAAAATTATACCTTATAATACTATAGTTATAATTGTATAACTTGTATCTTTTTCTTTTATGTATACATAGGGGCAACCATAATATTAAGAAAAAAGTTTTCTGCTCACCACTTCTGGTCAGACTGTCACCTTTATAATGTCACAGTCATACTTTATATTGGAGAATTATTCAGATATCTACTTGCTAAGCCATCAGTGAGTAATGAGTAACTTTTTTTGTTGTAAAAGATCTTGAAAAACATAATTTTAGATAATAAATCTATTTGTTCTCTGCCTTTCATGGTTTATACTGATAAAATTGGCTAAATTTTCAATATACAGTACATCTACAGGGGTGGTAGAGATATCTAATTGTAATTAATCAATAAATTAATTAAATAAAAAATAAATTATTGTTGGATAAAAAATAGACTAAATATGTAGCCATGCATAAATATGTGGTAATAAATATAATTTTATAATATTATTTGCAAATAATTTTAAAAAAAATGATTTAACATTATATATATGATATATAGATAAAGTGTAAGTGAATAACGAATAAATAAATTTTAAAAAGTGTATAGTCCTTGTTTTTTTTTTAACAATGGTAACCACAGGCAAAATAATTTTCTAAATTTTCCAGAGCATTTTGGAGTCTACCCACAAAGTAAGAGCAGCTTTTGGCAATGGTTTAAGAAAAGATATCTGGTGTGAAGTCAAAACACGTTTCAAGATTCCAAACCTTGTTGAATTTTTTGGTGCTACAGAAGGAGTAAAATCAACATTCAATGTATCTGATCAGCCTGGTGCCGTTGGAAGACTTTCTCCACTATTGGTCATTGATAGGAAATCTGTTATTGAGTCTAATTGTGCACAATTAATTATTTAAATAAACTCCCCCCCCCCCCATATCAAAATTTGACTTTATTTAAAAACAATGAATGTTTAATATAATTATTCATATTGGAAGACTTTCTCCACTATTGGTCATTGATAGGAAATCTGTTATTGAGTCTAATTGTGCACACTTAATTATTTAAATAAACTCCCCCCCCCCCATATCAAAATTTGACTTTATTTAAAAACAATGAATGTTTAATATAATTATTCATATTGCTTCAGAGCATGACAGATCTTGTGCCAGCAGCACTTGTCAAGTTTGACTTTGCCACAGCCACTCCCATAAGAGACAAAAATGGGTTTTGCATCAAAGTGGGGTTTGGTTAGTTTAATTTTGTTAAAAATGTATTGTTGTAAATAAAATGTAGCACATTCTCAAACACTTAGCTTCCAAATTGAATTAAATAGATTAAAGTAATTTTTAGAGATAAATATGCAGAATTATAAAATGGTAAAAGTAAAATATAGAAAAAATGTTATTATTGATTAAATAAATATATTTTACACTTGTTTCTTAATAATTCTGATGCAATTTCAGGACAGCCTGGCCTTTTTCTTGCCAAAGTGCCAGAAATGTTTCAAAAAAATGGAACCTTAACTGTGTACAAAAGTTCTAGTGAAGATAATGAGAAGAAAATAGTAAGGGGTGCCTTTACCAATGGTGATCTTTGGTTAAATTATGGAGATGTCCTCATTTTAGACAAGAACTACTTTCTTTATTTCAGTGATCGAATTGGGGATACATTTAGGTATATATGTGTAGGCTATGTGTGTGTGTGTAATTAGAAAAAATCTCTTTAATAACTTCATTTTTAATTTTCTTATTTTTAACTATATGGCAATGCCATTTGACTTTTATAAGCAGTGTCCTTACAGTCTAAACACAAAGTGAAGAGTATCTGTAAAACAAAGATATTATAGCCAAATTTTAATGGCTAATTTATCAACTGAGAGTCAGGTTTTTTGACACTTTAAGTTGTAGGAAAGCAAATAGTGAAATCATGGTTTTTTGCTCTGTGAAACAAGGATACATGTATGGAACAAAACAAATTCTATAATTTAGATATATTAAAATTTTACCTAACTTTAACTTTTAAATGACATTACGATGTTGTGCTAAGTGGTGTAAATTATTAAAGTCATGCTTATTCTTGTTTTACATTACAGATGGAAAGGTGAAAATGTATCAACTATAGAAGTGGCCAATGTGATAACTGCTTTGAACTTTATTGAAGATACAAATGTATATGGAGTTGATATTACAGGTTTAGTGTTTTTTTTCTTCATAAGTGAATGTTACAAGTTATGCCCATTGACTATTATCTGTATCATAAATTCAATATTATTTTTAAGCAGATTTTTATTTTAAATTTACTTTTTAACATTGGCTAATTATTTTTGCTAGTAATCTGAACATAAATTAAGTGAAAAAAAAATCAATTTTTTATAGTGTTTACAGACATATAAATGATTGATGCCTCATCAATATCAATGATTTATATTTAAATTAAGTTAGAGCAAGAGAACAAAACAAAGTGAAAGGCTGCAAGTCACTAATCCTACTCACACAAAAACTGCACACTTCCTATGTAGTTCTCCAAAAACTATTCCAAACACAATTAAAAAAATTAAAGTGAATAATCATAAATAAAATATAGATTATATAAAAATATTTTAAATTACAATAATTATTTTGTCTAAATGACCACCAAAATCCTTTGAATAAATATCTATGAACTTAAAATACCAGCCAAGAGTATACATTATACATGGGATTTTCTGATGACTTTTTATTTAATTAAAATCAGTAATATGATTTTCATGGTGTAATTGACATGCTTTTCAACAAAATAATTATGTGTTTCTAATTCCCATAGGCCATGATGGCAGAGCAGGTATGGCTGCCATCACATTAAAAGAAGGCTCTCTACTAGGAACTTCAGAGCTAAAGGAGATATATGAGCACATATGTCAAGAACTTCCAACTTATTCAAGACCACTATTTCTACGATATTTAAAAGAACAAAGCCTTACTGGCACATTCAAACAGCGTAAAGTGGAGCTAGTAAATGAGGGCTTTGATCTTAATTTAGTCAAGGATGACTTGTACTTTTTAGACAATGAGAAGAAAACTTACAGTAAACTTACACCAACAGATCTATCCAAATTTTTGTCATCCAAATTATAACTCTGATAGAGTTTTCTTTCTCTAAAAAAGAGTGGGAATCCTCTGAATTATGTATTTCAAGCAAGGATATCTTTCATTTCAACCTTTTATGTATTTTTCATTATGTGGTTTAATTATAGCCTCATCATTTTATCCATTTGAATTTGGCACTGGCATATTACAAAGATCTGTAACTTTGTGTGGCATATGTGGCAGGCACAAAGATTTTCAAAAAGACTAAAATATGGTAGAGCAGGGAGACAGAAAGTTGGCACTTTGAATGAATTCGACAGGTACTTTGATACAATATTCTCATTGCCAACCCACAAAATTATGGTACTTTTTTTTTGTCAATTATCAAAATTTTACGGTTTTTAAATCCCTTGGCACATGCTCGAGTATTTGAATGGATTAATCTAAAATGCCTCTTCATTTGTTTATTATTGAAGCTTATTCATAAATTAATAAAGAATCAGGTTACTAAATAAATTTAACACTGTTTATTTACATTAGAATACAGAAACAGTAATATCCACAGTTAAGGCATGGTTTAGAGCAGTGTTTATCAAATGGTGGTCTGCACACCAGCACTGGTCCACAAGTGTTACATTGCCGATCTGCACAACATGAATATTTATGGTCAAATAAAAAGAACATTTAATTAATAAATCTGGCACCGGTCCCTGATACTATTTCAAAACAAGTCCTTAGGTCTGCCAAACTGATAAGTTTGAGAAATGTTGGTTTAGAGGAAAAGAGAAAAGAATTACATGCAAGGAAAAAGACAGTTAATATAAGTAAAATGATGTAATGGTTATGGTTTTTATACACAAGAGATTATGAATGCCAAAAATATCTTTGCAGAATTATTGGTTATAACTGTCTTTGCTTGAAATGAAATCAAAATGGCCCTTACAAGCTCATTGTACAGCTGCTCTTTGCAATTGATTATAAACATGGTATTTACAGACTTCCTTATTCCTGCAAGACTTTGCAACATGCAAAGAATGGGTTGGTCTAATAATGAATAAACTTATAAACAAATTCCACAATAGTAGGATAATATAAATAATTACATTATGTTCTTTTTAGCAACTTTTGAACATTTTTTTAGAAAAATCTTATTTTTGATACTCCCAGCTAACTTAGTTGTGGTCATTAATAATTAATTAATAGCAAAAGAGTGAAAGAAACAGATATAATATACGAGAAAATGATCATCAACGTGATGGTTGAACCATGTCTCTTAGTTATGTTAAAAAATGTTGGCCATGAACTTTTTTTATTGGCAATTTTTCTGTATAACAAAATCAAAGAAAATAAACGTTTAAACTCTTCTGTTGTTTTTGTTTTGGCCAAACATGAGAGTGCTATAGTGCCCCCACCCCCACCCCTTGTTTGCTGGCTACTCCCTCGGTCATTTTACACATAGTCTAGTAATAAAAAGACTATCAGACTCTTTTTTATTTTATATGTCATTAGACTTTAACAAATTATTAGGGCCCATATATTTTAAATATACTTTCAGTGTAAATGAAATGGTTTCGAAACTAATAATCGTGAAGCAGACCTAATTTAAATTACTATAATTTTAAAAAAGGCTAATTTTTATTATTGGCAGCCTATCAATTTTCTTTATATTATAATTACAAAGCCATAACATTTACAAATTTCAGCAACTTCAAATCTTAATAAAAATGAAACAAACTTCTTAAATCATGTTGAATCAACTATAATTGAACAAAATTGTGTGTTTATTTATTAATTTATACTTAAATTATTAGAAAGGATCAGGCACTGCGGCTAGGCCTTGGGCAATGAAAATGAAAGACGATAATTAAAATAAAAGATTTTAAAAATCCATTTTTGGAGGTTTGGTCGAGTAATGAAATGGTTTCAAATAAATAAATAAAATTTCAACAGTGTAGGAGAGATTGAAAATGAATACTGGAGTGGAAAAGGCAACAGATTTAAATCAAGATGTGGATTAACTAGTAAAACACCCAAATAATAATTGGTAACTTGCTTTCGAGTCAGGGGAGCTCACTATCAAAGACAAATGAAATATGGAGTACCTGGTGTTGAACTAGCGGATTTGTTAAATTAAAATATAGTCGAAGTAGATGTAGAGACTATTTAGCTCACATTTATTAAATAGCAGGTTTTACATTTCGGTAAGCCTACCTTTCATACGGTTTCACAATGGACATTGAGTCAAGAAGTATCGATATTGCGAAAACTGCTTCTATTGATATGATGACTTTAAACAATAAGGTGAGTTTACTGGACTTAACGTGGTCACCTAAATATCAGTTATTAAAATGAAGGCTATAGACTATAGACTCTATAGAAATATCACCACAAAGTTTCGCGGTTTTCGTCATACTAATGCTTTGTAACTTTGTGCTTTCATAAATAGCTGGCAAGATATCCCTGTAGGCCTATTTATTAATATTTAGCCTAGTAGTACCAACACATTAGTCTTGCCATGCTGGTGACGTAATTATTTTGTTCGGTGGCTATTTCCCTCACCTTTCTTGGTGGGGGAAATTATTATTTATTTTTAACAGGGTCTCTTAAAAGACATCTAAATTGGTCGCCTAAATCATAAAAGTAAAAAGGTCTGCATTAGGCCTACTACATGATTATAATACAAGCCAGTGATACAATAACTATCATAGGATTATGCAATATTATTCACCTTTGCCTATGACAAAATTGATGAGCATGACAGTGATAAATCAAAATTAATATGACAAATGAAGGAATTAAATAAACCTAGGGTTCCAAATTTTATTTTTGAAAAAATTAAAACAAAAATAATGATATAAAATTTACCATTCCACTAGTTTTTCTTCCACAAAACTGTTTATGTTTGCTTAGGCCTAATTAAAATTTATTTTTGGAAATAAAGGACAAGTAGGTCATTATGCAGCTGTGAGAGGTTTTCGCAGTGTATAAGTCATATAACATATGATGACAGCAAGACGTCCAGCAATAATGAATATCGGATTGCCAGCCCAGAGACAGACAGACAGTCTGACCTCTGGTAGACGACCAAAAACCCCAGTCACTTTCGGCCTTGATGGCTGAAAGTCCCAATTACTTTCGGCGCCAAAACCGAAGCTGAAATTCGGTCGGTCTCTAGTCAAAACCTAGGTTCCGATCGGGTCCAAACCCAGGTTAGGGATAGGGATAGATTTAGATTTAGGGTTCAGATTGGGTTTAGGGATATATTTAGGACATTTTTGAATTAATTTTTAACATTTTATTCTTAATTTTAGCAAATGTGACTTATTTTATTTTTCCACGGCCATCATCTTGGTTGCCAAGACCAGTGAAACCGTCAAAGTTCTCGGGTCGCGGCAACCAAGATGGCAACCATGGTAAAAAACGCGGTGCCATCGCATTTACCAAAGTGGGTGTCGGTAACAGTTGCTACCCTAGGAGTTAGGAGGTTGCCACAAGAGGTGAGGGTCACCGGATAGAGCAGGGTGACATCAGAGTAGACTGCCAACTGAACAGGATTCCATCAGAACAAGGGGCCACAAGAACAGGATGCCGCCATTGCAGATTTCCACCAGAACAGGTTGTCATGTGACATAGCAGAATGTCATCAGAACAGGGTGTCATTAGTGTAGGGGGCCATAAAAACAGGGTGCTACTAGAATTGGATGCCACCAGATCAGGTTGCTAGCATAGTAGGTTGTCCAAAGAACTGGGTGCCACCAGACAGAGCATGGTGCCACCAGACAGAGCAGGGTGCCATTAGAGTAGGTAGCAAACCAAACAAGGTGCAATATGAAAAGGATTCCACCATAAGCATGGTGTCACCAGAGTAGGCAGACTCGGAAACGGTTCATGGGGAAGTCTGGAGGGGTCAAGAAAATGCCTGGGGAAGCAAACAAAGACGATCGACTCACTTTCCAAGAAAAAAAATCAAGAGGCGATGCTTGAATCTATTAATCATTTTCATTCTGACATCCAGATAATACGAAGAGTCATCAAGCAAGTAGTAGCTTTTCAAGCTGAGGGTCCAATCTTGATAACTGAAGAAGAGTTATTGGAGTCCATCCCCAAAGTGACCACTTTCTATGATGAGTTATTTGAAAGTAAACTTTTAATTGAAATATCAAGGCTGTGTAAGCACCTAAAACAGCAGATATTTATTGGTCAATATTTAAAGTTTTGAAATTCGTAACTGAATGAAACTTCCTAGAATCTCCAAAATCCTCCAATTAAGCCTACAATTATTTAATTATTTATCATGATCTGTATGGCTTTAAATGAGCGGAGCTTTTCAAAACTGAAACTTATAAAGAACTAAGTGCAATTGACCATAGAACACTTAAGGCTTTCTTGTCTTGCGATTTTGTCAGTAGTTCTAAGGCAAAGACTGTTATTTTAGATGAAGTGATTTACATCTTTGTAGCCAAGGAAAGTACACTTTTAACTGTAATGTTTAATATTTCAATAAAAGGTTATTTTGTTGCCTTTTTAAAAGTTGTTCCGTCAAATTATGTGTGTTGTTGCTTTAGAGCTTAATTTACAAATAATACTATATTCGGTTTTAATAATCTCGTTAAGAATTACTCTGAGCAGGTGGGGGGGGGGAGTCCATAAAGAGGGGGGTAACACTAATCCTGGACTGGTCTATACTGTAACTGTTGATCTACTTAACTAATATGTTATCTGGTATATGAGAAGAGATCATTACACCATGAGTATTACTGTGAAAGTAAGTGTAGATACTTTTGTAGTACTGATAGGAAAACTGAGTGTCAGTCTCATTCTCAGTCACTGATCCAGTCAGTGTAAACTGTAACTGTAGTCCTCCACTCAGCCCCTGTTGTAGTGAGTAGGTACTAAACTTGACCAAAGATTTAGTCCGAGGTGTGTGTGCCTCAAGTCTAAAGCAGTGACCTGCTGTCAGTATCACACAGTGTGACTGTTACATTACATTGATGAAGAGTGTAGGATTGAGTGAACTGGTGAACTCAGTCATAGTGACTAACTTAGTCAGTGTTTTAAATTATAATTTACAGGGCACATATACTATTGTTATAAGGTAAGGCTCTTTTGTTTATGAGTTATTCTACTTAAAGAAAGTAACATTCAATAGACAACAAGTTGGCTAATGTCTACTTAAGTTAGTAATGATATCCCAGATTTTTTTCAACAAACTATTTGATAAAATTCATGAAACATAAATTACAAAATAATTATTGGGCAACAATGGTATTATTATGCATTCTGTTGACTAAACTTGTATAAGTAGAAGGGAGGAAGTTGTATAAGTAGAAGGGAGAGAAAAGCGTTTTTATGACTGTATCTTAAGAGTCACTGGCTGTAGTATTTAGACATAGGTTAGCATCCAGGGCATCAGATGTATATTCATTATATAGATTTTTTTTTTATGCCACTAACTTAAAATAATATTTTAGGTTGTCAATATGAGACAGGTTGTGAAACGAAGCAAAGTGCATGTGATCAATAAGCTTTGCAGACATATTGCCACTCTTAAAAAGAAAAAGTAAGTTTTTATTAATTGTTTATATATTTTTGTAAACCTGTAACTTCATACAATTGATCTAAGATGCCATATCAACCTTATGACTTTAAACCTTCTTGAATTAGACTTTTTTTGATAAAGCTAAAATAAGTGTATTTAAAAGCTATACTTGCTTATTGGGGATGTTTTGAATTTTATCTTAGGGGTACAGAGGAGCAAAAAGCCAAGAATCTACGAAAAGCTGAGCGCTTTCTTGAAGAAATTGATTCTATCAAGGTATTTTTAAAATCTTATTAGCACCAGTTTCCTCTCATCGTTAAATGGTCAATTATGTTTTGATGCAAGCAAGTCTATGTGGCACTTCATAATTACTCCTTAGTGTTTTGGCATTTTCAATATATTTAGGCAATGGTCTTTTCACTCTGCAAATTTTGGTGTATTGAACATTACAATACCCAGGGGAAGTTAAATTTTATTAGCTTAGAACCACTGTATTAAAATATTTGACGTAAATACAATAAGATTAATCATCTTAACCAAAAAATATATTGGTTTGAATTATTTCAAGCTCTTTTTAATCATAATGTGAAGTTAACCATGCAAAAGTAAATCACTATGCAAATGAATCACACGTGTCTGTTTGTCAAGGAGCATGTGCCTCTTAGGAACGTAAAATGTTTTTTATCTTTGCATTAATTATCACTAAATATCTGAACAATAATATAGAAAAAAAAGTTAATATATTCTGAAAAATGTTTAAACAGTTAATAACATTCATTATGAAAGCTTTTGGTTGATAGTCCCAAAACCCCACATGCAAATTGTCTGCACAAAATACACATATTAAGTGAACGTTGTCAATGTTTGTTAAAATGTGAATGATCACTATCCCTTGCTGTATAGAAATTAAAAGAAGACAAAGTATCCAAGTATGCACTTGCCAACACAAGGACATTCGCAGACATTAATAAGGTAGATCTTTCAACAGTTTCAGTTTGCTTTATCCCTTTATATCATTAATATATTGTTTAAATTGTTTAGCACTCCTTTCACTATAAATGTGGGGACATTTTTTATCTTTATATCAGCAGTATGGTTTTTAAATGGATTATGTTTGGTTTCAAATTAAGCCATTGAAAACTCTTTTACAGGTCAGCGTTTCACCGGGTCCTCGTGCATTGGGTCGTCTCGCTGACCACCCTCTGATGAAAAAAGTCGTCTCGGACTTTCGAGAGCAGCATCATGACTGGCGAGATCTAGCCGCGTACTTGCTTGTCAAACAAACCGGGCGGAGATTCAAAACCAAGAAGCAGAAGCAGAAAAAGCTCTCAAAATGTGTGGAGAACATCAACGCATCAGAGACGATGACCAAAGCTTACATACAAGAAAGATTCGGGAATGAAGGTCTGGCAAAGGCAGAGGAAAAATTTGAGAGGAGAAGGAAGCGCCCAAAACCAACCACAGGCAGTCAACCAAAGGAAAACGAGAAAGAAAATGTGGAAAGAAAAGAAGTTATAAAGTTTATTCCTGATCCAGAGGAAATCAGTGCACTTCATAATAAAAATAATATTGTAGAGAATGTCTCAGAGATTTTAGACAATGACAGTGTTATTGCTACCAGTATTAGTACAAATATAACAGCAGGGCATTCGAACCAAGACTCACAAAGCTTAAATACATCTGAAGTGGAAACAAGCAACAGTAAAGATAATAAGAGACTCAAAGTGAAAGAATCAAAAACATCTGGGGTCAGCACAACTGTGAAATGTGATGATGAAATTGATTTTGCACATAGAGACACGAGCAGAGCCAATGCTCAGAATAGTGAAGCAGTTTGCGAGGCGGTCGGCAGCAGTCCGAGCAGTGACCAGTCATCAGAATCTGAGGAGGAGGAATCAGATTCACACAGTGACAACAGTACCTCCAAAGCTGGTAGTACAGATCCAGGAGAGAAAGAAGAAGAAGAAAGCTCAGAACCTGAAACTGTTCAAGGGAGGCTGGGGCACTCGGTTTCATTGAAGGAAACACCACAAAACAGAGGCACAAAAGAAGACGGGACAGCTCGTAGAAACGAATGTGTGGTAAAGGAATTGGACCTGGGTGGGGAGGATGCAGAGAACACAGAGAGCAGTGAGGACGTTAGTTTGGATGAGAGTGAGAGTGATTTGTCTGAAAGCGGCGATGATCTGAGATTAGAGCAGGTACACGAGCAACGAGAGACAAGTATCATATCAGAAAACAGTCACAGAAAGAAGAGGAAAAAGGCAAGTGTCCCGGAATTTTTGACAGCTCCCCAAACTAATCTTGTTAACGACCCTTTCTTTGGCAGCGACGATGAAAGGGGCGATAAGTTTGAAGATGATGAAATGAATGATGGAAAGGATTACAGTGATGAAGAATTTTCTGATGTACCCTATAAGAGGAAGGTTGGATCAATGTTTTATAATCCTGAGGCAGATGATGACGAGAATTTTAAGAGACCCCGCTTCATGAGTAAAAATAGAGGTAGTTCCACCAGCAGGGGCGGTAGAGGAAGAGGCGGTTCATTTAGAGGCGATAGAGGAAACATGCGGGGAAGAGGTGGCATGAGAGGAGGAAGCTTCCGCGGACGTTCCTTTGGAGACAACAACAGAGATTTTGACAGGTCAAATAGGAGAGGTGGTCAGAGTTCCAACTCCAGGTTGGTGTAAATAACCTTTTTGTTTTACTTAAAAATAAATTCAGAGTTGGTAAACAAACATTAGTACAGTAAAAAATAATAATATTATTAATGTATAGAAGTTAATAATATACTGACTTCTCCAGGTGTTAAGCAATAAATTAAACAACTCCTAAAAAACAAAGTTTTTCTAAAAATCCTTCATATGCATATTTGTTTTCATTTATGCATTATGCGTGATTTATGATATTCTGGCAGCTGATTTTTGGTACAGGAATGGTTTTTATCAACTTAAGTGCATGTAAAACCTACTAGACTAAAGATATATTTAAACACAAATTTGCCACAAATACAAAGCACTTAGCAACAGCTGCACAATTAATCTCCGACCCAAAACTGGTTTTTGAGCGTTGGGGTGGGGGATCGGGTAGAAAATTTGGTAAAATTTGTTGTCATCTGCCACATGTCTATGTGCCAAGTTTCAGCTCGATGGGATGACAGGAAGTGGGTCACTTAGCCTTCTGAAGATTTTGCCACCACAAAAAACGCATATATATAAGTGAAGGATTTTAAAATAAGAAGCAACAGGTTTACTTATGCTCAATTCACTCGATCTAATTTTCGCCAAATTTTCTTCAAATATCTTTTTTGAATGCACTATGTTGTAACACAAAAGACAGCGTTCAAAAAGAAATTTGATGAAAATTTGATCATGTGAACAGAGCATTAGAGCTTTTTACTTATCAGATTGCATTATATAATTAATGGCTTAATTGGTTCTTCATAAATATTACATCATTTCAGAAAGCATGGATAAGGCTTATTTCATTCAATTTTTCTCATCATTTTTCTTGTCATTGAGCATTTTGAATAAGTTGAATAATTTGACCACAAAAAAAAAAGCAGTTATAATATAATGTGTAGGTTTTTATTAGCAATCAGTAATTTTAATGATCATCTTTATCACAGGTTTGATAACTGGCAAGATAAAAAGAAAGATATTACTGGTAGCTTCGGACAAAATAAAGGCATTGATTTGAAAAAAGGTTAGTTGAATTAGATATATATATTTTGTTATATCTTCTGTCTGTTCCAACAATGTTCAGAAACAGTTTTGTTCTGTTTGTGCGCTGGCACTTTGCTGAATTGTTCTCTATTTTGTTCCGTTTGTGCTCAGTTATTATTTTTAGTGGACTTATCATTAACAGAAATAGGGGCCACCGATAACAATGGGGAGACTGCAATCAGTTTAATCAAAAAGAGAAAATTACAGACACATGGTAAAGGAGCAGCTGAGAAGTAGACAAAAGAAAACAATCTTGTTTTTAGGTTTCCCCTCACCCACTGTTTCTTATTACCTTATGATTTAAAACTTCTGTTCTGAGGGAACAAAAAAAAATGTTCATGAATTTGCATTGGCGTCAGTTATTATATAAATGAGAAAATCATTGGGATAAATTTATGCTCACATTACAGTTAACTAATTATAAGAGGCTTTGGACTGCAATAAAGCATTTTTGGCAGATAATTGAGACACAAACAGTGGGACATTCTTTCCATGAATCAAAGAATACTTCACTTTATGTATTAAATTTTTAAAAATTGTCATTCATTTTTATGTCTTTTTCCATCGATATGAAATTTAAGGTTATGAACTATGAGACTATTATTTTTGAAGTGTTATTTTCTGTCACTCTTTTTTTTTCTTGCACAAGAATTAAGTCGTTCCAAAATCAGAAAAAAAGCCACAGCGGGAGTGGGGTGACAGTTTCAACTAAAATAAATAAGTTTCTGTTTTGATATTTTAATTTTAAAAAATGAAGCCATTTCCCAGAACTGAGGAGGCTAACGAAACAATGATTAATATTTCCGTTAAATTTTTCAGTTCCATCCAAAAGTAACAGTGCTAGTGAGAAGCTTCATCCATCTTGGGAGGCCAGTAAAAAACGGAAGGCGGAAATGAGCGGCATCACAGCATTTAAAGGGAGCAAAATTACATTTGACGATTAATTAAAATTCATTTACAGTATCACGCTTGTTTCTTCACCATGTCTTGTTCTTTGAATGTGCCTGGTAGCAAGCAACACACTTTCTTTTGAACTACAGATCTAACTAACAAATGCCGAAAGGGAATGAAATGCATAAATGTAATATTTTATTTTTATTAATAAGTAACATCATACAAATATAGTTAAAACAAGATTACCAAAAAGCGAATTACATTACACAAGTATTTATTGACATTAACTTCATTAACAGATTTCATCAAGGGCCGTTTTCAGATTTCCTGTCTCCATGCACTTGAAATATTATTTTCAGTAACTAATTTTTTTTATATCTACTAGGAATGCACTAAATATTGTATTTATGTTCACAAATAGTGCCTTCAAAAACCTTTTTATATTCAGAGGAAAAGACATGATAACACTGTGACCCATTAGCTGTGATTATTATATCATTAATTTCATCCAAACATGGAACACATTTTTTGGGGTGAAAAATTTCACTCACTCATATTTAGCCAGATAGTAAATGCCTCTGTCTGTCTTTGGTCTGATAAGTTAACTGGTTTCAAAGACTTCTTTATCATTCAACTTTTGGATTACTTGAATGGTAAATTTATTTCTTCAAAATCAATAGTCCCTTTTTAAAATAAGTAATATGATTTTGCTTTAAAAAAAAACTTTTTATTTCATGGACAAATGAATCTATTGCAGTATTAGAGTAAAACTTAAAAAAAATTCATTCTTTTTTTTATTATGGTACAACAAATCTGATCTTATCTAAGGAAACAATAACGTTATGAACAACATTAAAAACAAAAATCCCTAAAGCTACCATTTTTTAATCTGGGTATTTACGTATATAATATGTTTGAACACTCTTACCATCATTCATAACCATTCTATGCCTGGCAGCTAAGCATGAAATAATGCATCTATCACATTCACAAGCCAATTAAATGTAGTGTAAGCACACCTTGTCACAAGGAATATTTTTACAGATTGTAGCAGGGGAAATACGGTCTGATCAAATTCATGCAATACACATGACGGCTGTTAAAAAACAACAGACCTAATTTAAATATTTTTTATAAAGTTACAGCTGATTTTAAGCAGGATGCCAAGATTGATCTTTCTAGTCCAGAGAAATGGTGCACATTCTTTTCCTTATAGATAATGTCATAATTTCAGCGAATTCTCTGCAATCTCCAAACTTATTCTCATATAAACTAGTCTTCTATCAATTATGTCATCCAAACTAGTGTGCTATTAATTATGTCATCAAAGCACAGAATTTCACAGAAATAACTTCACAAAAAAAAAAAAAAGGTCTCATTTATGAACACTTAAATATTGGCTGTTTCAAAATCAAAAGATGCAATTTCTTATGTAACAAATTAAAAAAACAAAACAAATCCTTTGGTTATTCTGCAGGATATTTTTTTGGGTTACTAAATAACAAATATGAAATTTCATAACTTTAAAAATTGACAAAGAACAAAAATTCCTAGTCCTAGATTTCTACTGATACTGAGCCCTGTGCTTTTTGTGTAAAGTCATCTGAATGAATGAACTCAGATCTGAATGTTTAGTTCCCACTTCAAGACTTAACTGGTTGAACTAGAAAGACCTGGCCAGCATCAGTTTAAAATAAGAATAACTTGAGGACGCTCAAAAGTTAACGGGTTCTGGCGAGTCGATGTTGAAGCTTGACTTACTAATCTACACTCTGGCATGCTATCCATCAAGTTATTAGTTACAATGGATTTTTAAATTATTTGTTGGATTAACACTAATCTGCCAGAGTGGTTTTCAAAACTTTTCAGATCTTTTGGTAACACAAACCAAACAAGAGAAATCCAAACCAGTGATTCTTCTCTTGGAAGGAAACACCATTGTAAGAACTACATTAACATATATTGGTAACACTTACTCCTCTTGAAATAATCTCTAATATATATATATATATATATATATATGTATTATATATATTGCTTCAGCTGCATCTTGCTTCCCAAATCCACCCTCCTCCCCCCAACTTCGCTTGTTTTATATTAATAGTGCTGAGTAGCTGAACTTTTTTATCGGGGGGGGGGGAAGACTTTTATTAGGTGTCGTTATTGTTCATGTGCCTCTGTCACACAGCGAGCTTCATGAACATCTGAACTCTGGTAATTAGGTTGATTTTTCTCATTGGAAAAGAAATTGTAAAAAAAATGTCATTGTTTTTTCAAATCGCTTTTCTGGTGCTGCACACCTCACAGAACTGGGTCATGGGCCATCCTTTTCTTCAGGCATGTGTGCACCTGTGAGTATTTTCTGTAACTTGGCACAGGAAGGTATTGCTAATTTTGTTATACTGCAACTGTTGTTTCCTAAGTCTTTGTTATGAAATAAATGACAGTATCTTCTCTGCCGACAGGTTTTGGAACAATATCATCTCTATTCCAGGATACGGCAACTGCTTGTTCCTATTAGTTGGTTATTTCTTGACACAAACCGTTGACAAAGGCAATGGACTCTCACTATGACATTGGGCAGTACTGGGTAGTTTTGATTGCATATGAAAATGAGAAGTTAACTTTTTTTTTTTTGTAACACTTGGACCCACGAGATATATGTTTTAAAAAACCTGGATCCAGAGAAAAAACCCCACCTGGTTCAGCCCTAGTATAATATAATAATATTTTATGATTGTCAGTAGCACGATAATAACATTAAAAAAATCTTTTATAACAAAACATGTATTCTTCCACTCATAAACCTCTCACTCAGACTCAAAGTGAATAAGAATTTTAAAAATTGTCAATGATCTTATTTAGAGTAGACAACAGTATTTGATAAGCCAAAACAAAGAAAAAGAAATACAAGTAAATATTCTGTACAGAATTATCACACCAGAGTATGGTAAAAAAAAATGCAAATATGAACCCCCATGTAGCATTATCTTGGTACAGGTGTTATGAAGGTTCTGGTTACAACAGTTATTGACAATACAAGATAATATGGCTAACTTTCAAACTGAGTAATTGCCAATTTAAATTACAGGTAAATGCATAAGTATCTTTCTTTGAAGACTTATTGTCCTTGACAAACAAGTAGCTGTTGGTACATTTTTCTTTCATCATACAGTATAGGGTGTATTTGCTAATTTATAAAATAAATAATACTTTACCATGACAGATAAAATCACAGTTAGTTAAGGACTGCGCACATATTATATAACACAATGGGGTTAGGGGGGTGGTTCATCATTTTGTTATACTGTAGTATATAGGGTGGGGGTGGTAGAGAGCAATTTTTATATGCAAATTATTTTTATTTGTTGATTTGTATTGATTCTAATTTTTGCAAAATTACTGCTTTTCAAATTAGCCTAGATTATTTTTTTTTCTCACAATAATTAGCATACCTATAAAAAAAAATTCTGGCTTTTTGCTTGAAATTTTCTTGTTTCAGCTTGTTTTTTAAACTTTTATCAGCTTTTTGGCTGTGGAAACATGGTAATACTAATAGTTGTTGAATAAAAAAAACTAAAAACAAAATTTTTATAGTAGAAATGTTTTATTGGGGGAGGGTGGGGGTACTAGAAATGTTATATACCATTCGGGGGGGGGGGGGTCAATGGAATTGTCAGTTAATATTTTAAAGGGTAGGGGTGGGTCAAAATGTAAATGTTTTGTGTTACATAATATGTGAATGACTCCCAAGCAGATGAAGTAAATTTTAAGCAAGCATTTTATAAATCTAAATAATATTTTTAAAGATCAATGGGGGGGGGGGGGTGGGGAGAAAAGTGGTATATGGGGTGGGGGGGGGGGGGGGTCAATGGAATTGTCAGTTAATATTTTAAAGGGTAGGGGTGGGTCAAAATGTAAATGTTTTGTGTTACATAATATGTGCATGACTCCCAAGCAGATGAAGTAAATTTTAAGCAAGCATTTTATAAATCTAAATAATATTTTTAAAGATCAAGGTTAGTGTATTCAACATGTTTCATATGATAGTTCTGAAAATAGGAATGAGGGAAGGAAGTAAAAAAAAAGGAAGTTGTGATTCCTCATCTAGATTATCAGTATTCAACTTCACAACTTACTGAAATTAACCTTATGAATTAAAGCAAGTCATACATAATGAGTATTCAACTGCAATTTCTTCAATATTTAAATTTATTTTTTTTTAAATTATGGAAGAAAATAAACGTTATAAGCAGAATAAAAAATCAACCTTATAAATATTTATGATAATAAAAGACAGTGAATTGTCTTTAAATTGACAAATCTGAATTTGTAAATTTTCACAAAACAAACAGAATTTTTTTTTTTTAGTGGAATGGATTTTATATGGGGCATTTATACAAAACAAACATTACTATATATGCTCAATAAAAATAATCAAATTTTTAACAGCAATAAATTTTGGAGCAGTTTGCCAATACATCAATATATTCAAAACACTCAAATATGAATTTTGTTTATAAACTTAGATCTTCTTACAGGATTCACAGCACAGTTTTTGATAATATATGTATGAACAAAGGCGAGCTTGAGTTACCATCCGACAGTTCCAATATGAATCTTGGCAACTTTTATCTGAAATAAAAGATTTATAATAAGTAGTTCAGCATCAAGTAAAATGTACAAAGAAACCTTGTTGTATAAGGTGTTAATGTCCAATTTAGGTTCATTAGTATTATTTACTTGTATTGTTGAAATGATCTTTATTTTCACAGCTTAGACAAGTAGAAAAAAAAGTTGGCTCATTGGAATGAACTTAAAATTTCCTTGATTATAAACATTTATTCATTAAATTATCACAATTCCCATCTTGGACTAATGCCTATAAAGAGACAGCCTTTGGAATAGCATTGCATTTTCAGAATATGAAGTTGCATCTCCATTACAATTTAACATCAAAAGATGCTAAGAAAATCCTATAAAGAGAAATGTAAACCTGAAATATAAAACATTCAGTTTATGAACACATCTATCATTTTTATAGGTAATATTATTAAATGTCATTTTAAAAAAAAAAGAAGCATTTTACATATTGTAACAACTACCTTGTTTTTTTGCTGTGATAGTTAAAATGGGA